GGCCTTGCCAAAACACATCTGTCCACTTAACGACAGCTTCCCATTTCAGGGCCATCCCCTTTGTCAAGACAAGAGGTATGGCAGACAGGGCTTGTCTATAAAGGAAACCATGGAAATGGCTTTGTGTTCTCCTTTAAAACTCCGAAAAGGTCAAGGGGAAGTCGTCCGAGTAAGGGGTTCCTCGCTTGACACATCCCCTCCTCCCCTTACGTGAATTGGTGGTTTGAAGGTCAGGCGGCTTCTCCCTAGTTAGAAGAGCCAAAGGCTGAAGACGCGCAATCCCAACGACCGACAAACTTGGTTGACCTTGGGTTAGGAGCAACAATTCTCATTTGTTTAGCAGTAAAGTGGTTTTGGATTTCAACCACTAAACCAAAATAAGCAAACATGGGAAAAATGATTCCCAACAACAACCATGCAAAAGGGCAATCTCAAAAATGGGATGGCTCCGAACAGAAGACACTTCTCCAAACAGAAGTCCCATCCAACCTGCGCAATCGATAACAATCTATGACCCCCGAACTAAAATCTCTGAGGGCCGGGCATTGTAGCGGTCCGCCTTCACCTGAGTAATCAAAACCCGGTATTAAACTGGTCGATCCAGAACCATGCAAGGAAATACAAAGGCGGATATCCGAAACTGCTTCTGGTTTGGGACTGTCCCTGAACCTTCATCTACTTTGGTTTTTGAGCAAGTGGCTCACCTGAAACTTTTCTGCATGCTCACAAATGTAAAAGCTAAGTGTTGGCGTGTCTGTCTGCTTTTGACTGCCTTCATCTTTCTCTATGTTTGTGCTGGATTGCTTGGTTGCCTGCATGACTGCTTGATTTGTGCATGTTTGCTGGCCTACTTTAGCGATTTAACTACTTGACTTGTTGCTTGCTTGCTTGCTTGCTTGCTTGCTGCTTGCTGGCTTGCTGGCTTGCTGGCTTGCTGGCTTGCTGGCTTGCTGGCTTGCTGGCTTGCTTGCTGGCTTGCTGGCTTGCTGGCTTGCTGGCTTGCTGGCTTGCTGGCTTGCTGGCTTGCTGGCTTGCTGGCTTGCTGGCTTGCTGGCTTGCTTGCTGGCTTGCTGGCTTGCTGGCTTGCTGGCTTGCTGGCTTGCTGGCTTGCTGGCTTGCTGGCTTGCTGGCTTGCTGGCTTGCTGGCTTGCTGGCTTGCTGGCTTGCTGGCTTGCTGGCTTGCTGGCTTGCTGGCTTGCTGGCTTGCTGGCTTGCTGGCTTGCTGGCTTGCTGGCTTGCTGGCTGCTGGCTGGCTTGCTGGCTTGCTGGCTTGCTGGCTTGCTGGCTTGCTGGCTTGCTGGCTTGCTGGCTTGCTGGCTTGCTGGCTTGCTGGCTTGCTGCTGGCTTGCTGGCTTGCTGGCTTGCTGGCTTGCTGGCTTGCTGGCTTGCTGGCTTGCTGGCTTGCTGGCTTGCTGGATTGCTGGCTTGCTGGCTTGCTGGCTTGCTGGCTTGCTGGCTTGCTGGCTTGCTGGCTTGCGGCTTGCTGGCTTGCTGGCTGGCTGGCTGGCTGGCTGGCTGGCTTGCTGGCTTGCTGGCTTGCTGGCTTGCTGGCTTGCTGGCTTGCTGGCTTGCTGGCTTGCTGGCGCTTGCTGGCGCTTGCTGGCTTGCTGGCTTGCTGGGCGAGTTGTCTTGCTTTTGCGAGACATATAAGCACCACAATCTGGCCCTGCATCATGCGCCATCTTGCCAGGCCCTGCGTATTTCAGGCAGAGAAGCTGCACGCAAAAGCTACGACGACCATGGAAAAGGTCCCTGAAGCCGGCATGAGAGTTCTAAATTGTTTGGAGTCCCTTTGCAGCTGAAAAAGCAAAAGCCAGCCGACACTAACCTCGTGGACTATTCAAACGCGACTTGACCTTCTGACTGCCCAACCAGCATCCACTTTGTCGGGCTTGCTTGACATGATGGAGAACCCACCAACAAGAAAACACAACAGGACATGTCATGGGCATTGAACAAAAACCGGCGCTATCTAGCACCCAGCACAAGAATCCGACAACTGTAGAAACAAAGCCGTGGGCCAAACCAACAATTCTCTCGCACCAACAATCACGCAAGTGCACAAACCCCTGTGAACAACCTCCATTTGCTTAAGTCCCCCTGGAAAACATACCAAGATTTCCGGTAGTGATAAATTCCCTTAACAGCAACAGGGGACAATAACAGGTATTCTTGAGCAAATGGAAAGACCCGTGCAAAAAAGCTACAGCTTCCTGAGTCTCCATGACGCCTAAAAACTGAGGCCATCACCCGGCAATGGTCCCATTTTTCACGGGTCATGGAGACTCCAGGTACGCACTTTGTGTTTACCACTACAACGGTCCAAACCCGCTCTTTGTGGCTCAAGTCTGGAAACTGGAGTGAGTTTTGGGCTTTGCGTGCAAAGCACGCGTCCTAGGAACCTACTTTTCATCCTAGGGGCTATGGCGGGATCCCCAAAAAAAAGTCCACGCCAAGTTGATAAGCCCTTAAGGCCTTAAGCCCACCCCACCGCCACCCCCCACCCCACCCCCGCACCCCACCCCGCACCTCGTTAAGGGAGTTCCCCCCTCCCCAGTTCGCCCAAGGGGACCCCCATGAACTTTGGGTCCCCAGATCGATCCGGACCCCAAAATCGCCGATCCATCGGGGGCCCGGACTGCGATGTCCGCGTACTTCTCCGCGTTGGCGTGCTCTGCCTCCAGGAAGTAGAGGAAGGACCTCTTTGCGTCCACTTCGCCGTGTGCGCGCTTCCCTATAGCTTGGCGCGGGTTGTTTTAGCGCCATCCGGCCATCCATTTTTTCGGAATCCCTATAACTTGCTGCAAGAGACGGGAATGATCATTGGAATGACCCTCATAAACCATGCAACGGGTGTTTTTGTAAGGGAACCCCTGGGTTCATTCCCGCATTCCCAGAGCACCAGCTACCAAGTGGAACTCCTTGCGCGACCCAAGGTCAGCATGCGGGTTGCCTACAGCCCAGGCTGGGTGTTTGGGCCCGGCTTTTGGACAGGCAAAGGGAAGCCGAAAGAAAACTGCCATGGAAAAGGGACCTTCGATATTTTGAGAAACCCCCAATTGTCTTGGTGGAGTCTTGGTGGAGTCTTGTGCTGGGTGCTAAATAGCCCCGTCTTTGTTCAATCTCCCTTTCCTGTTGCGTCAGCACACTGACTTGTTGTTGGTGGGTTTCAGGTTTCTCCACAACTTCAGCCAACGCAACTTTCGGAAGCGTGCCTGAGGCCACAAAGGGAAGCGCACCGGAAACTATGCAGGGCAACGATAGAAACAGCAAACGCAAATAATGTGCAAAGTCTACATGTCGTCCAAAACCACCGATGGGACCGAATTCTTATTTTCGGCCTCGAAATTCCTGCCGCTCTCGAAATAACCACCGGGACACCCCCAAACACCACCGAAAACACAACCGGGACACCACCAAAGCACCACCAGAACATTACCAAAGACACAGCCAGGACGTTGCTGGGTGCCAAGCAACAGGCAAAAAATACTCTAACAAACATTGTGTTCGGTTTTCCTTTGGATAAACAAAGAACTATAGGCTAGTCAGTTAGCAGGTTGGGTCCTCTTCGCACTGATGGGTCAAACAAGGCGGAACTTGTTGTTCTCACCAACATGGAAACCAAACCCAAAAAGTGACCAAAGTCCGGGAACTGAGGACGTGAGCTGTTGTCTTCATTCTAGGAAACGGTTTGGATGTAGGCGAACCTGTGGATCCACCACTCTATGATAATAGCAGATTACTAGAATAAGACCAACACGGGAAAGAACGGGTGAAATCCACACCTCCTTTGCTCAAATCCAAACCATTTTCCAGCCTTGCAAAGTCGGCCCATGATGACGGTATCTTACACAGGGATGCTCTATTTAGAGACTTTTTGCAAATTCCTGAGGAGCAGCACATCTGTCCCCATCACCAGAAAAAGGTTTCCAAATGAAATGTCTGCTGAAGTGTTCTCGATGTTTTTGGGCATCTGCCTCTTTGCCGGCTCCCCCTCTTCAAAACCACCCCTCTTTGCCGGCTATTTCGGCATCCAAACCCTTTTTAGATCCATTGCCCCCTTCCCCACCCCCCACCCCCCACCCCACACCCACACACCCACACACCCACACACCCACACACCCACACACCCCCACACCCCCACCCCCCACCCCCCACCCCCCACCCCCCACCCAAGCAATCCGAGTCGAAGCTTAGCTTGGGTTTCCGGCAGGTTCGTGGCCGCGCAGGCCATCAACGAGGGCTCCTTCCGCTCAAACTTCTTCAGCACCTGGCGCAATTGTTAGTGCCTCAAATGCTGAGCCACCTTCAATATGAATAATTGAGAATTAGCTAATTTAGTTGTGATCATCAAATGCTAGTTGAATTGGGTTTGCTTCGTGTTAGATTCTATTTAACATCAACAGTACATATTTGGGAATATCTTACTTATTTTGCTGCAGATTAGTCGGAGTTTACTCGAAATCATGTTTACATTTTCATGTACCTCCTATTTGCTATTTGGAAAGGAGTTGTTTATTTAAGTTGTATTTGAACATATCTTAAAATTAACAAGGGAAAAATACAAAAAACAACTTAAGCAAATGGAAGGTTATGAATCCCTCATGATTATGGCCAGAAACCAGTCAACAAAGGCAAGCAAAGCCTCCATTTGCCTTAAGTCCCTGTTCTGATAGACCCCCTTTGAAACCGTCGCTTTCAGCAAATGGAAGACACATATGTGGGCAAGAATATTGGGCAAACAAAGCAAGGACTCGGACTGCGCACAGGCTGGTAAGTCCTCAAGTCTCCCCTGACGTCATTGTCCGCGAAGTATGTTCCTTTATTTAATAGGGTGCCCTTTATTGGGTTGGCCTTTGTCAAGAACCAAAGGAAAACCCTCAGGATTCCGTGTGTCAAAACTGGATGATCCAACAAAACGGCAAATACCAGAGCTGGAGGTGGAGTTTTCGTCTCGCATCTGTCTGGTGTCCCAACGTAAAGCGACTAGTCATATCTTAAGGCCAGGGTGAAGTCATGACAGGTGGTACCACTTTCGGGCAATTTCTTGCGGGAATGTTGAAAAGGGCAACACAGAATCCACCGGTTTTGCGGGAACCCGCATGTTTGAGACACACCTATGCAGTTTTGAGCAATTGGCGTCGTGGTCGGGGTTCATAGGCGTCATAGAATCATGCCACGAAGCCACCTTTCCCAGCATTGGCCTCCGCACTTTTCTCGGTTTCTCGCACGGTTTCTCCGGGATGCTGCGTACTAATTCTTTTCGGTCAAGTCAGTCGGTGATTAGCCATCCAGGTTCTAACCGCTGAAAGTTTCACTTTAGTGGGCTAAATTTGGAAATCCCCGCTAAACACCCATTTAGGCCAAAAAGCTTCAGAACCGGATGGCTGGTTGAGCCACCTTACCCACTTCCGCAAAAACTCACCCAGAGGGGTGAAAACCGGAGACGTTGGGATGCACCCGCTTGGGCCCCCGATCTTAGGATCGCCCAGTCCGAGGACGACACTCGCAACTCTGCGCCACCGGATGTGCCCACTTTGGGTCAAAAAAGGCACCCAAAATGGAACCCCCGGTACTCCCCTCCCCTCCACTCACTCCGCTCCACTCGCTCCATTGTGGCCCCTTTGTCCTTGGGAATTGGAACAAGGGACATCGAACCTATCAGTCAAGGATCGTGACCCCTTCTCCTAGCATGTCATTCTGGTACAGGGTAAAAACGCAAGCTGTCAGATATGGAAGAACAACATAAACAGTAAAACCGACAAATGCAGCCATGAACAAACAGAATAATTGTTTCAGTTCATTCTTTCCTTTCAATTTCATATTGCCTAGGCTCGGGGAATCAAAGCTGGCTTGACTCATCGCCGGCTTTGGCTCTGTGAGTGGAAGGAGGGGCAGGGTTGGCATCCGCCACACGTAGGAGGGCCAAGGCAAAAGGAAGTTTGGCTCAACGCCCAGCCAACCTTTCAACTCGATTGTGGAAATGCGTGAGCTTTGCTCTGACCTAAAGCGACCTTGCACCAAGGCAGATGATAGGGGTTTCTTTTGGTGAACATCAGTTATGTGGAGATTCATGCCCACAAAGCACTTGTGAGGTGGCTCCCTGTGTAAATCTGTTGCCACATGTTGGGTTGCTTTACGCCGATTGAAATGATTGGATTATCATCAGGAGCGGAAGGGATCCGCGTCCAATCGGCGACATCAGCTTGACCAAAAGCAGGGCTGCGAAAGCTCTTGCTCATGGAAACTAAGGGTTGTCCTAAGGAGTTGTCTAAGGCTCAATGAGGAGCCTAAGGATAAGGAGCCCTAAAAAACCCTGCAAAACCCATCGATATCGCGTTGTTGGGTTTGGCCCCCATGTGGTTTCTGTTTACGGTCCGTCAGTGTGTTAAGAAATCTTCTGAAGCAAGAAATTAGACCCTCTAATGGTCCATAAACAATGTATTGAGACTCTCGAACACTCCAAAAATCAAACGCGCATCTCCCCACTGAAGCCTGACCAGCACGCTTACAAATATCCAAGCCTTAGCAAACAAACATAAACAGCCGTCTGGGCCTCGTATAGATGCGTTTTCTTCGCTTGTCAAGGTCCCTGACAACGCCACTGGGCAGCACTCGTTGTGGGTAGATGCGTTTGTGCGAGCCCGAAAAATGCATCTGGGCCTGGCCACGACGGGAAAACGCATCCGGACTCGGCACAGGCTATGGGAAGACTACGGGAAGATTAGGGGAAGACTGCGGGAAGACTACGGGAAGACTAGTCGCAGCAGAAAACCTGTTGTTTGTCGAAAGATTATGGCCATGCGCTGCAACGTCCGAATGTCCGTCATTTGATCAGACGCCGGAAGTCAGAGCCACCGGGAACACATACCGAGGGTCCAGGTGAAGCTCGCCTAGAACAACTCGACTTTCGCAGAGACTCGCAATATTCGACAGGAAGACTCTGGCAAGGGCTAACACGCAGCATGTCCTCAGTGAGCTCAGCCTCGTACCAAGGACAATTCAAGACAAACGTTCGCTTGTGTCCTTACAAAAGCGCAGACAATCATGGAGAGGTATCGCGGTCGTGTCACAGGAGGCAAGGCAAGTGTGTGCAGCTTTTGACGACGCATTGCAGCGAGAGAGAACCGTACCAGGCTACAGCCACGGGCGTTTTCAGCTGCTCGGCGTGGCAGAGGGATGGGGGGAGGAAGCTCGTGAGTCCGCAAGACCGACACCTGATTGCGTTGCAACCGCAGGGAATTTCATGAAGACTCGGCACGGCAAACGAACTCAAGTACCACCATGGAGCTCAGATCCGAAATTGCTGCACGCGCAATTAGGAGGCACAATCTCTGGAATCAACCAAACATACCGCCTCGACCGATTCCGTCACTGACACTTCATAGAATGATGCTTTTCTTCTGAGAGCAAGGCAGGTCATCCGTCAGAAGACACTTATGTCTGTTCCACCTTTGTTTGAGTACGAACCTTGACTCACCACGGTGCATGGCTCACGGCCTTGCATGTCTGAATAGTACTCTAGCAGGCCAAAAAGGATGCCTTGCTGCGTGCTCCGTTGAGAAACATTGAGAGATAAGACAGGACACAAATTGCCAGCGCGTTCACCCAAAGGGAGAAACGTCAACGAATCCCTCCCAATCGAAAGCTAGAGGGGGTACAAAAAACATGGGTGGGATCAAAACAAAGGATGGGGGGGGGGGAAAAACATGAAAAACACGAGGGGGCAAACAAAGAATGAGCGGAGGGTCCAAAAAGAACACCGACAAGGCAAACAACAAACTTCCCCAAAATAGCTTTGGTTGTTCTTGCATTGGTTTCCTTTTCAAGCCACAAAAAGGGGTACCCTTGAAAAAGCACACCCATATGTAAGCAAAAAACCGTCTAGTGAGTCCTCTAACCGGCCCGAACCTATGTCCTTTTGGGGGTATGACAAGGTACTCTCAGCTCCTCTAGTAGACATTTAGGAAATTGGTCAAGCTGAAATCATGCACATAATTCACCTAGCCCTCAGTTGAAATCCCTGACGCACAAACGTCGACTAAGGTCTGACCGCCTCAGAAAGTGTCGTCGAGATTCGAAAAACAAATAGAAAACGCGCCTGAAGCGCGGAACCTTGAAGATGTCAAGCGCAGAAATAGAACAACGCATTGGCTATGCCTATGCGCGGAAACCACACACTGTTTGAGGGCCAAAGGGCATGGTTTAAAAGCCTGCCAGTTGGTCGTATACTTTGTAGACACATTTCCGCGCAAAGCAATAAGCCAAGTGTCTGGCTGAAGCTGCAACACCTATTGAGTCTGGCATGCCTCAGCCTGGTCAGGTTGCCCGTGAGAGCATGTGCAGCTCCGAGAAACAACCTGCCCGGAAAGGGTTTCAGCTCGACACCTTTCTACGAAATTCCAAGCGATTCAGTACGGAGAAGACCTGTTGCTCCAACCTGGCGGGTAAAGAGTTATAGTTTGCCAAACTGCAAGAGGATACAAAACGGTCCGTACCCAACCGAGGTTTTGGTCCTTCGGTTCGGAGCAAGCCCCGATGAGCTGCCAAGGCCGTCTCTTTGCGAAGCGGATTTTGACGGGAAATCCAGTTGGTGGCTCCCCCTGACGGTTTCTGTAGGCTTTCTCCGCTTCAAGCAAATACCGGGTCGGCAAGGCAAACGCAGAAACTGAAAGGTCCATCAGGCTGATTCCCTTGAGCCCTACCAATCGCTGGAAATGAACGTGAATAATTTAAGGGCCCTATACCTCCAATGCCCATTTAAATTTCTATGCTGCAACAAGCCCGGCATTTTGGTAAAGACTAGTTTTGGATGCTTAGTAGCCAATTTTTTGGGACTGCCACAAGGGATACGAGAGACTTGGCGCGAAAGCTGCTTGGGATCTCATAGGCGCGTAAAACATTCATATAATCATATATGTATAAACGCTGAAGCACATGTTGGCTATGTTGTGCACTGCTTGGTTTCTCAGCGGGACACAGCCTTGACTTCTACCCATCACGGCAACCATTGCAGAACGAGGATGTTCAGCCTCCAGCTCCCCTGGGAAAAAAGAAGCAGAGCTCCTCGCTAAAAGGTACGCCAAACAAGGTCCGTTCAATGGCTTGTCTACAGTCGCGTAGAAAAAAAAAAGCAAGTCTGAAACTTATCGCTTCCAGAGTGAATGGGCCAAGAAAAAGTCCGAACTTTTTACTTACCACTAATATGGTCTTCCCAGAAAGTTTAAAGCCCATGTGCTCAGGAAGAGCGTGGCTCATTTTCGCCAGATCTGTTCCGGCAAGGCTTTCAGCAGGTGAGTTGCGCACACAGAGCAAGGGACCCAGGGACCGTATCAAGAATAATAATGCGCTGAGCTAGCGAAGCGATCCTAGGCTGTCCTCAGATCCCCCGGTACAAGTTTGACTTATAGTGGGCGAAATACGGAAACCAACCACTAAACACTAACACAAGCTAAAAAGCTAAGGAACCGGATGGCTGGTCGCGCCACCAAGGATCATATGCTCCCAAAATGGAGCCCCAAAGCCAATATCCAGTGGTCGAAGCAGAAACAGGTGTTGCGCAAGGCCTTCTAATAAACATAGTCGACCAAAGTGGGTGAGGGTGAGGGGTTTGGGGGGGGTGAGGGGTTTGGGGGGGGGGGTGAGGGGTTCGGGGGGGTGAGGGGTTGGGTGGGTGAGATGGCTTGCAGAAAAGCATGGGCCAGAATTTGGTGGTTTCCTTGTTTGAAGGGACATTGTGGGTACAGTAAAACTACTAAATCAAGTTAGGAATGATTCAGCCCGTGGTATTGGAACCAAGCAGTTTTCTCCCAACTGTGAGCTGTTTTGAGGGTAAAGTATTTGACAAAAAGCAAACATGTGGCGTTCTAGGAACCTGTTTCTTTGATTCACTTGCACTTGATCTTTCGTCTGAGCCGAACAAAGGACGTTGGGGGGGGGTAGGATGACCAGGTAAATGAAAATTTTGGACCCGCTCACCATTCCGCCGAAACAATTGATTTGGGGGTGTGCCTTGAGGCTTTCGGGGAACAAATCTCGTTCTGCAGCTGAGTCTGGATCACCTTTGGCCCGCCGGCCATGTCTCTTCTCCCGGCGAAGCGAAAACGAATCTTTCGAGACCTCACTTTGGCCCGCTCCGTTCGCTCGAAGCAAGCGCTCCGCATCAGCGCTTTCGGCTAAAAGTTGCTCTGCCCAAAGCTGTCGCCAGCTAAGCCTGGAATGGCACAATCCAACAATCGGCACCCGATTTATCAACAAGGGGTCCGTCTTAACTTCAGGATTGTGTCCAACACCCACTGTAATTGCCCAGGGAAACCGACGTAAACCTAGAGGTATAGGAAACCCGTGTTGCCTTTGTAATGGTAAGTGAAAGCAATGGGTGGAAAACACAACAGGGCCGTTCCAAACTCCAAAAAGGTGATTGTTGGACACAATAACAAACAGAAGGGGAAGCGATGGCAATATCAAAACTGTCAGAGTTCAAAAGCAGCCTTGTGGGTTGACTAGAAACGAACACCCCTTCTCGACAAAATGATGCACGTGAAGTGCCCACCGGGGTGTGGGGTGTTGGGAAAGAGTACCTGAACGGCTGGCAATCAGGGAAAGGATCATGTAAAGCTCTACAAGTAGAAACAATCCTGGTTTCTTACAGTGGATACTGGATCTGTCAAGAAACCAAACTTAAATAGCTGGGTGGCAAACAAAGGTCCCAAACGAAGTGGGCATATATCCATCGCCTTGGTTTGCTCTCGAGAACATCAATCTGGTCTATTCCCGCCGCCCCCAACCCCCTTGGGAAAATATTCAAAAACATGTTTCCAGCAATCATAAACTCCCTTCAAAACCGAGGCCACGCAAAAACACATACGTGTTCGTGGGTTTTAAAGCAGGGTAGCTCAGAGTCCCGAAACGGGCTCCTTATCAGTAGTTGGTGGTTTGGAGTGCGGCAGTTTGGTGATTTTAGCAGGTGTCCCATGCACCCTCTGCGAATCCCCAAGCCACGAATCCAAACCACCAACTGAGGGTTGGCTGAGTAAGGGATATTCTCCTTGCCATAAATGGCCACCTTCGAATTCTTGAAGGTTTCTGCGTCCCGACCGCTTTAATACTGATTCGTTTTGGTTGCGACCCATCAGGGTAACCTGAGTAACGCGGAGCTCCGAAACGGGTTCCGCTCACCCGTGCCGCTGGGCAGCTCCGGTTTCGCGTTCCGCCGGCGGCAGTGGCAGAAGACGTCTAGTGCCAAGCTTCTGCGTGTAGTCCCCAAGGGCCTCCTGCAACAAAAGAAGGTACACGTGTGTGTGAGAGTGTGTGTGTGTGTCATGCGTCTCTGCGCGTGCCTGTGTCTCTGCGCGTGTGTGTGTGTGTGTGTGTGGGTGCGTCCGCGCGTGCGCGTGCGAGCGTGCTCGTGCGCGTGCGCGTGCGCGCGGCGGGCGGCCGGGCGGACGGGCGGGCGGGCGAGCGGGCGGGCGGGCGTGCGTGGGTGGGTGGGTGTGTGTTTTTTTTTTGTGTGTGTGTGTCTGTGTGTGTCTGTGTGTGTCTGTGTGTGTCTGTGTCTGCGTTTGTGTCCGTGTCTGCGTCTGTGTCTGTGTCTGGTGTCAGTGTCTGTGTGTATATCTGTGTTTGTTGTGTGTGTGTGTGTGTGTCTGTTCCTCCCTGTGTTCCTCCCCCCGCCCATAGAAAAAAGAACAAAGTAGTTGCATGTGTGCGTGTGTGCCTGTGTGTCTGTGTGTTTTCCACCACCAAAACAAGCACATGCGTGTGTTTGTGTGCGCGTTCCTCCCGCCCCTTTAAAAAAAGAGTAATTACGTGTGTGTGTGTGTGTGTAGGTGGACCCCACCCGCGGCAAAAAGAAGAGTACAAGGTGCAACAGAAGTACAAGTTTAGGTGGGGGCCCGTTTCATTTCGAAAAGGAAAAAAACAGATGCAATAGGAATTATGCACATGCTGCATATGGCTCCTCAGCCGGCCTTTTTGAATGCAAGCCATGTGTGCGTGTTCCACAAGGCGTCTCGCTCCTCTTCCTCCTTGGCCTCGCACGCCTCGGCGAGGCGTGCGCCTGTGGCCGGCTGGCTCTGTGCGCGGCGAGTTTCGCGCCGAACGTGGCCAAGCTCGATGAAGGTGCAGCGATATCTGGGCGCCTCGGAGATTCGGTGGCCTTGGCCCCAAAGAGAACTAGGCTGTCCGTTTTCTGATCCCCTGCTAAAAGTGACGAACTTTTGGTGGGCTAAATGCAAAACCAACCACTAAACACTAAAAAGCTAAAAAGCTAAGGAACCGGATGTCTGCGAGCCACCAAGTTAATCATGTGATTAATAACTCATCACTTTTGCCCAAAACCTTAGCATGTAAGGTGTTTGGGGGTCAACCGCCCTGTTCACGGATGAATATTCATTAATATGGGGGGGGGGTGGTTTTGGCCGCTCCAAAAGTGGTTTGATTCCCAACACAGTTCACCAAGACATTAACCACCCCCACGGGTTGATTAATGTGGCAACAAT